AATGTCCACGGTGATTTGAAAAAAATCCGAGTCGAATTGAAAATCGTCCTGAGCTATTTGAAAATCTCCGGGTCGAATGGTCGAATTGTCCACGATTTTTGAAAAACAACACGTTCTTGATTTGAACGATGTCCATTTTCAAGTGGAAATGGTATATTCAAGCGTGGTTTATATGGTGCGAACAGTTCAGAAGAAGGACCCGCATACAGGAAAAATCAATAATAGGAATGTGCTACCATGGCGTACCATGCCGTCCTAAACAATATGGAGAGCGTGACGCTCCGTTATACCACGCCGCTGCCAAGTTGTCAAAGTGATCAGGCTTCGCAAGCAGCCTTGATCGAGTACTTTCAGCGTCTAAGTCAAAGGATGCTCTGCACCCTTGCCTCGTGAATGAGTAATATACTAGATAGATAGTTTAAAATATAGGTCAGGAGGGCACTCATATCTTATTAAACATAATCATCATATCTCAAGTTAAGAAGGTGGCTTACTATCGCTTCGTCACACTTGTTACCCTGTCTTGATTTTCATGGGATAATGACCGCGATCTAGCGATTGCCATGCAAGAAGGCCTCCAACAGTGAGTGTTGTTAAACTAGAGTTAGGAAATCTTCGATATACGCGGCTCTAAAATTTGATGAGATAGTTTCGACGCAATGAAGGCAGGGATAGCCGAGTGGTTAAGAGGTTAGACTCATGTCTGCACCTCCTGAAAAACCGCGAGTTCGATCCCTGCCGAGGCTCTAAACCATGCCTTGCAAAAATTGCAAAAATGGTTCTAGTACCAGCGTCAGGCCCAGGTTGACAGGCCGGCTGATGAAGACCCCAGTCACACAAATATGTCTAAAGTCGAAAAAAGAATCAGTGATAAAGCTAGGACGTCACCCGGAAGTGGCGCGCAGAACCCCCGCCCGAGTTCTGTGGTCAGTATGCGAGGGCTACCGAGGAGTGAACGGCCTCGGCCAAAGAAGCTAGTTCGAATTGGACTCTGAACGTAGGATCGCTAACTGGGAAGTCCCGAGAGGTTGCTGATCTGATGACGCGCAGGAACATCCAAGTCCTATGCCTTCAGGAGACGCGATGGAAAGGTGCTAAGGCCAGGGAAATCGGGGAAGGTGTCAAGCTCTACTACAATGGAGAAGACACCAAGCGGAACGGCGTGGCCATAGCGGTAGCGGAGTCGCTCAAGGACTATGTCTCCGCTGTGAACAGGATCAGCGATCGGATCATGGCTGTGAGGATAGACACGAAGGAGGGGTACTGGACCATACTCTCCGTGTACGCCGCAAGCAAGGGTGCCCCGAAAGTGATAAGGACGAGTTCTATCTGAGCCTGGACGAAGCCATAAGATCGGTTCCGGAAGGATGATTACCTGACCATAGCAGGTGACCTGAATGGTCACGTCGGTAGTGACAGAAGAGGCTTAGAAAGAGTGCACGGAGGTAGAGGGATAGGAACGAGGAACGCTGAGGGAGAGAGGGTTCTGGACCTGGCTACAGCCCACGATCTGGCAAGTCTGCAGCACGTTCTTCGCGAAAAGGGAATCTCAAAAGGTAACCTACAGCAGTGGAGGGAGACAGACGGAAATCGACCATGTGCTGGTAAGAAGATCAACCCTCAAAACTGTGAAGGATATCAAAGTTCTACCCGGCGAAGATCTGGCTCCCCAGCACAGGCCCCTCCTGGCAGACATTGCGATAGACCTCCCCAAGAAGACAAGGGTAAGAACCGAGAGGAGAATCCGGTGGTGGAAGCTGCACCAAGCGGAGAAGGATGACCTCAGGCGAAAGATAATGGAAGTCGGTCTCCCAGATCCTAACGGGCCAATACAGCGGACTTGGGGCGCGGCTGATACCATCCTGCGATGTGCCAAGGAGGTCCTGGGCGAGACGCGAGGTGGATTCAGAGGAGACAAGGCAGCGTGGTTCTGGAACGAGGAGGTCCAGCGAGTCGTGAAGCAGAAGAAGGAAGCATACAAGCGCTGGCAGAAGACCCGGAGCCCCGAAGACCTCGCCACCTACAAGAGTTGCAAGAGGCTCGCTAAGGCTGCTGTCGCCAAGGCGAAGAACACGGAATGGACGCCTTGTACGAGAAGTTGGAAAGCAGAAACGCAGAGAAGTTCGTCTTCAGGCTGGCTAAGGCCCGGCATCGTGCTACTCAAGACATCAGGGTGGTGAAAAGTGTAAAAGGCAGCGATGGTGTCATCCTAAGGAAGCCAGCCGAAGTCAAGAGGAGGTGGGAAGAGTACTTCACTTCTGAACGAGGAGTTCCCCCACAAGAACAACTCACGGGCAGAGGCCACAGCTGGTCCCATCGCACTCTGGACTGAGGATGAGGTTAGGTGTGCACTTGGGAGGATGAAGGTTGGAAAGGCGGTTGGCCCAGATGGGGTGCCAATCGAGGCATGGAAGGCGCTCGGAGAGTACGGCATAAGGTGGCTCACCAGCTTCCTGAACAAGGTAACAGTGGAAGGAAAGATGCCGGATGCATGGAGGACAAGTACCATCGTCCCCATCTTCAAACAGAAGGGCGACGCAATGGACTGCTCCAACTACCGCGGGATCAAGTTGACTGCGCATACCATGAAGCTGTACGAGCGCTGGTCGATAAGAAGCTGCGGGAGCTGGTCCCGATCTCCCAGGAACAGTTCGGGTTCATGCCCGAAAGGTCTACAACGGATGCCATCTTCATCGCAAGGCAAGTGATGGAGAAGTATCGAGAAAAGCGCCGACCCTGCTACCTAGCCTTCCTCGACCTGGAGAAGGCGTTCGACCGGCTACCGCGAGCAGTGCTATGGAGGTCGCTCAGGGAACGAAACGTGCCAGAACACCTGATCTCGCTGGTGAAGGACATGTACGAAGGAGCCAAAGCAGCCATACGCACCCCTCACGGCCTAACAAAGGAGATAAACATCACGGTTGGGGTGCATCAAGGGTCAGCTCTGAGCCCCTTCCTGTTCCTCCTAACGCTCGATACCATGGTGAAGGGCCTCATGGAAGGACCACTGAAGACCATCCTCTACGCTGACGACATAGCTCTGATAGCGGATAGCAGAGAGGAACTTCAAGCCAAGGTGCAGAGATGGCAGAATGTCCTGGCAGAAGGCGGGCTCCGGTTGAATGTCAAGAAGACCAAGTTCCTGAGCTCCGAAGAGGGTGCAGAGCCGATCGTAGACGGCCATGGTGAGACCATCGAAAGAGTGGAGGACTTCCGCTACCTTGGGAGCGATCTGGCAGCCGACGGTAGTGTGGATCAGGCGGTGAAGGCTCGGGTCAACGCTGCATGGATGAAATGGAGGGAGTCCACTGGAATCCTCTGCGATCGAAGGTGCTCCAGAACGCTCAAAGGGAAGGTGTACCGGAACAGTAGTCAGGCCTGCGATGCTATACGGCAGCGAGTGCTGGCCCCTGAACAAGAACCACGAAAGGCAGCTTCACTCCGCTGAGATGAGGATGCTGAGGTGGGCCTGCGGCTGGACGCGGCTGGACAGGGTTAGAAACGAAGGATGTCAGAGCGGTCATGCAGACTGCCCCTGTCCAGCTGAAGGTACGGGAACAGCGTCTACGATGGTATGGGCATGTGCTAAGGAGGCCACAGGATCATCCGATAAGAACAGCGATGGACTTCGAAGTGCAAGGCAAGCGACCGCGAGGAGCCCCAAAGAAGAGGTGGAGAGACGTGATCAAGAAGGATCTAAGTGAAGTCATGGCCACAGCAGAGGACGCCCTGGACAGACTAAAGTGGCGACGACTGACAAAGACAGCGGACCCTGCGACTGCGCGGGACTAACGCTAGGGAGAAGAAGAAGAAAAGTTTCGAAAGCACATGTACGCACAATGTCAGCGTCGGAGGGCGTGACTGAACAGGCAAAAATCCTCGACCTGTTTCCACCCTGCTTTCAACTATCCATTTCGTAAGGAATCCCCGGTTGATGTCCTTAATTTATCGTGCACTCAAAGCCTGTGCTCTCAATTTGGAAAGATGAGAACCCTCTCCGTAATTGCACTTCGACAGAATATTGTCACGTTGATAGATAATATTGGCTTCGGGCTTTCTGTGGCTTTCGAACTACATTTTCACCGATAAATATAAGTAAACAAATAGAATATAAAAGCACGTCACCAGCATTCAAATCAAAAAGAATTCTCTGGTGCGGGCATTAAGTAAGAAGGCCTGTAGAGCAGGGGGTATCATATTTGTAGGGGGACCGGAACGGGAATTGCTCTTCCTACTGCGCTTCCTTTTATTTTCATGAAAAATGATGGAAGAAAAAAGAGCGCGGCCGGAAAGAGAGACTTAAATCCGAAATCAATTTTTATTCACATGGCAACAATGACCTCATCGGAAATCGACCAAAAATAAATATTTCTCCGAGCGATCACGAGACACAAGACTAAATTCCATGAACAGGAATGAAATGAATGCATGCAGACCCTTCAAAATGGCATAATGTGATCAGGGGAAGGCTGACAGTGATAAATATGGAACGATTTTTCCTCATTACAAATTCAAATTTACTTCTTTCGTTAGTCACTAACAACGGCTAGCTAGGCTAGCTAGAGAACGGTGAACCTATTCATAAAAAGCAAAAGCTATACATCGGGTTGCCGTGAGGCCGATTCCAGCCATGTATGGAATTCCCTGTCCTTAACTCCCCTCCCCCTCGCACCGGTGCTAGTGCCGATAGAATTTCTAGCTTAAACTCCGCCTTCATAACTTTGGAAAGGGGTCGATAAAAAGGGGAGGGATAAGTCTCATGCTGCATAAACGATAGTGATGCCGAAATTTCCGGAATTTCCCACTTTCAGAAGAAAACTTTGGAAACTCCACTCATTTAAAAATCCTTCCTATGCCTTCCCGAAAATCCATTTCTCATCCTCAAATGGATCTGCCATACATAGTTTGCAGGATTACGGTAGCAGTGTGGAATTCAACAGATATACACAATTATTTATTAACATAAAGACACCATAGTGACAGAATATGAGAATGGTTTAAACCCGTGAATCACACAAAAAGTCCTCCGCAGTCAAGGAGTTCGAAGCGGTCCGATTAACGGTAGCTCCTTCAAACCCAAGACAGCTGACGTAATTCCTAGCATTGTACCCGTATGAGTTGGCGAGCAAAAGGTTGATCACTGACTGATCATATCTGCAATTGAATAATTTATCAAGGTGCCTCAAATGCTTAGCTCTTTTGCCGTTTGCGGAACCGATTCAGGAGTACAGTTTATTCCCCCAAACTGGCTTCGCTCCATTGCTATGAAGGCCGGTTCACCAAGCCCCTCATGAGTTGGAACAGAGTTATCCGCAGATAGAAGGTGTATCGTTACTCGTGGCCCGAAATGTCCGACAAGGGGAGTAGGGGCCTATAATAGATGCAATTGACCGTAGATGCTGCTGCTGCAACGGTCTCTGCGGTGGATTGCCTGCGTCTCTCCTCGTCCGACAACTCTCGCCTATTCTCTCGCTCGACACCTAATGTCTTTTACCTGTAGCACTGTTTGACTGGAAAAAATAGAAGGTCCTCAATTTAGTTGGCCAGAATAAATCTTCCACCTTATTAACCTCAAGGCAGAAGTACAATCAACAATTACAATAACCTCAATTTAGTGTTCTAAAAAACTTCACATCCTTTTTTGCATCACTTCACTGTTCACTTCGTGCCTTCCCTTTCATCTTCGAGCAACCTCATCTTTGATCGGTGATTTTCGGTCTTTTTTTTTTGTCTCTTTGATCGGTGATTTTCGGTCTTTCGATGAAACGGACACTGCAGTTTGGGCCGTCTATGTTGTCAGCTTATTGCAAGAATTGGGTAGGAGAGGCAGTGATATGTCGAGAGGCGGCACTACCACGTGCACGACCCCAGAGTCATACACGGTCTTACTCAGGCCTCTATCTCTTGTAATTAATTGAAAAGAAATCTCGGAGAGAACTTGAAGGCAAAGTTCGGGCTCTGACCCGCCTAAGAATTTCTTACCGTGGCTAGAAGTGCTGGGTACGAAGTGCACAGGTAGCGCCAGCTTTCCACATCGGAATGCGCCACTAGGACCCTAGGCGCCATGGACTTCTAACAGACTCCACCAAACTAACATGGTCCGCCCACCAATCAATATTTTCTTGTCTGCGTCGCCACGTTGACGTGCTATGCTCTCTCTTCTCGGACTTCCCTACCTCTCCGCGCTCACATTACCTCTCACTCCCTGCCTGTCTTTTATACTCCTCCACAGCATGGAGCAAAATACTCGTACTTTTTGTGTTTTAGGATTTTCTGTCCTTTTTTTTTCTCTAAACTAGCGGTCCTCCTCCCATCCCTACTTCCTCATTTGAGTGGAATCATCCCATCAGTTTAACCCTGATTATTGCCTTCAACCCTGATAGCAATATAGAAGTAGAAGTTGGGTTTCCCATATAATGTTCTCACCTATGGCATCAGCATATTGATTGAACCGGTTTTCGCCAAATCTGCAACTTAGTTGTGCACCAGGCGGTGCCATGCAATTTTTCTCCAAAGCGCATAGAACGTACCTGCAATCATTTTTTCAGCAATCATTCATTTCTCACAGATCCTATCAGGAAACGAAGCGACAACGAAATTGGCCGTACCACTTTAAAATGTTCACAGCGTCCTTGGTTCTGACGACGAATGCAAAACCAGCATCATGATTTTCGCATGACCTCTTTTTCAAATATTGCAGTAGTGTGGGAATATATTCGTACACTCCTGGAAAGAGAACTTTAGAGCCCAAAGTAATTCCGCCTCCTCCCAAAAACCGTACCCGGATTTGTTGTTGGTGTTGGAAAAACGCCATGATTGGAAGAAGACTGCAGGAGATAGGCAGACTATAACGGTTTGATTTATTCGGTATTGCACTGCTGAAGAAACTGACTCTATGGCGCGCATGCGCGTCACATTTGGGTGGTTTTGCTCGACTTACTGGATAGTAGTATTGCTTAGAAAGTTGTTTGTCTTCATTTATGGGAATTTTTTTCGCCTTTGCCGAAATATTGTACCCAGTATCAGTGACAAAATTATTGAAAGGTAGTTGAATTTTTGGGAAATGTCAAAAAAGGATGCTGGGAAACACGCACAACGCGCTGTAGTCAATGTGTAAAAAATTCTATGGGAAAGCAAAAATATAATAGTAATATGGGTAATTACGGTATGGGTTATAGTATGATTGCAGTGCAAGATTTAAATAAGTCGCAAACGTGTTAGGAAACTCAAGAGTACAGCTAGTATGTGAAGCACTATGAAGCATTATGTAAGGATGTAAAAAATGAAGAAGCGGTTGTAGTACCGAGTAGAGCGTGCTTTCATATAGTCTCTCTGTACATGAGATCCTGGGTCGTGCGTCGTCCGGGCCGAACCTTATACCCATGCAAAGTCGGTCAACTGGTTCCAGAATTGTTGCGTGAACAAAAACAACTGGCTCGTATTAAGCGTTTTGCTGGGCCCTAGTGAGTCACCGTTTATCAGCCAAAACTGCCACGGGCGATTTGGAATGAGGTGAAATGCTGCTGTGATTTAAGAGAGTTTCAGCGAGTGCATTCTCAGAATGCTAGGGCATTAAAGCATGGGGGTAAGTTTATTCGAAATTGGAAGCGCTCACTAACCTAAACCTAAAACATATTTTCGTCATCAAAACTACGATAAAAATTCGCAGTGGAGTGAGTGAAATAATAAGCAAAGCATATGAAACTTCTTCACCTTTCCACATTCTGTGACGTTTGGATTCTCAAGGAAGTTTCTTGAGCTGAAAATACAGCTCTGAATTGTTCTTCTCTGATCACTGCCCATTCATGTACAAAAAATTGTGAAAAAAAGCTGGCGAAGGGGCAGTGAGAAGGTGGGGTGTAATCTATATCCAGGTAGAAGACTCTGAAACTCATTCATGCTCAGCAGAACCCTTCAACTGTTGTGGCAAGTTTTGGACAAAGGAGGTGTTGGCAAGCGGTGCCAGTCCTCGGCACGGGTCCAAGGGTCAAATCCTGGATCGGTTCCTTGCTAAAAACACGGTCGCTCCACGTACATGGTGTGAATGTCGCAAATGAAGAGGAGCGAGGAGAGGGGCAGACTGGGTGTAGGTGGGGGGATAAGAAAGCAACCGCTGCCAAACCCGAGATCTAAATCATTATTGAAGCTTCATACCGATTCAAAAAAGTGTACAACGGGATATTTACACTGACTCCGACCAATCGTGATCTTTCCGGCATCGGATCTCACGTCGCTCCAAATTGAGGCGATCCTTCTTCCATCGTATCGACGTGTCCATATACCAAACGGCTCCAAACTCCTTCAACGTCATCTGAATAGAGATTCACTGGGAAGAAAACGAGTAGCACAACCTTGAACGTAATGTGCTACAGAAATGCATTCGCCATTACCAGCCTGCACCCCTCCCCCAAAACATGACAGTCCTCAACAATGCTGTTCTGAGGTGTCAAGCTTTCATGTATTAGGTCACCGTTGCAATAGTGTTGGTTTTTTTTCAGACGCGAAATATTTCTCTAAATCCCACTCTTCTGCATCGCTTTACATGCCATTCGGAAGGGATTCGTCTGCCCTATACGATATGATGTTTCACTTTTACAAACTTAAACGAAAGCGTTGAACTTTAGGCTTGTAAGTTGGCAAGTTCAATCGGAAAGGGCAACCTCATCGACAACTAGCTCTAACTCTATTTTCCCCTAGGAAGTCGTGCAATGATGTACCCTCACCCCAGAGCGAGAAACACGATAAGGTCAGTGGGCTAATAGTGGTATTGTGGGGGTGACTGAGACAATTGTTCAGGGGCGAAACGAAACCCGTCGGAAAAAAAACGCAAAATGAGACCACATTCCTTGCCCATAATGGACAAACCAGCAACCAACATGCAATTAGGGATCGCTTGCACATGTTGAACCGATAGCCACCATCGTGTCAAGCAAACATATGCCGCTATAAGGATAGATTGGATAGCCCATTCCATGAAAAATTATGGGATACGGCTCAAAGTGGAATACTTTTCAAAATGGTAATCGAAAGATGTTGCTGCTGAGGCGGAGCACAGGCCAGGGAGCTCGAACAGGATTGCCAAGTTAAGTGCGCTGCAATTAGCCCACCTTTACGCGTGGTAAAAATTAACAAATTACCCTTCCTCAGAGGCGGCCTTATGATAACCAACTGAACATTCCAGTATTAGTTGGCGTGAAGCCTTTTCGTATTTCCGTCCGGAGAAGCTAGGCGTTTTTGGGGTATTTGCTGAGCCATGGCAGTTCCTGATCTGAATTTTTTCCCTCGAACCTTGTTCGCTATATGTATGTCAGTCATATGTTGTTTCCAGAGATTTTCGAGAGTTCGACCTTTGTTTTCTTTTCTGAACATTCTTTTCGAATTTTAGCTATATGTTAATGGTGTCCACACTTGAGAGAAAGAACACTACTTCAGAAAAACTTCTCCTAGAAGAGGATAAAATCAATCAGGCATTTACATTTCGCCAATTCAGTCAACCTGTCTCGGTTTAACTGCACTGGTTTTGGTCCGTCCCGAAATTTTGTGGTCAAGGTTGAGCAATGGTACCTAAATTAATGAGATAGGCTGGTGAAAACGCTTTAAGGATCTGTTGAAAAGAAACCGGCGCGGCGGGTTACGAGCTTTAAAAGCGGATTTTAGGTCGGAAGACCTAGTCGTGGCCTACATGTCAAGGAAGCAGCCCAACAGACGAGCTTCTCAGGAGCCTCCAGCAGGACAAAAATTAGTTCAGTTAGTTTTCAGGCTATGCGCATAGTTTTTTCGTGGTCGATGACGTGGTGTTATGGGTGTGTTAAAATTCTCCTCATATAGTGTATTCTCTATATGAGTGTAGCGGCAAGGCGTACCTTTTGTAGAATCAGAGAAACCTGTTTCGACATGGTTGACGAGATGATTGTGTCAGAAACTTGAAATTCGGGTAGAAATCTTTCCGATACAAAAAGGACAAATACTTATAGGTCACCAACTGAATATAGTTTAGCACGACATTTACACGATAAAACCCCCAGGTGTTTTTGAGCAATGCACGGTTCTTAACGGTCGGCAGAGTAAGACAGGTGCACCAGCCTGTGGAAGCAAGGATGTGAGCGAGACTCAGAGGGCCAAGGATCACCTCAGTTCCATGGTGGGGATCCCAGGCTAATAGGCGCTCTTTGGGCTCGCTTCAAGTCAATCTTTTCTTGTCAAAAGCCCTTCAACGCATGAATGTGGCTGTGGAAGGGTTTACTTTTTTTAGGGACTACTAGATTCCCTCCAGCTGCGCGCGCACTTGCTCAAACAAAATAGGGCACTTTCAGGACCGTGCCTCGAAATTTGTTGCCCCTGGCTCTGAGTAGTATGGCCACACAAGTGAGTATTTGGTCATGACTATACATGGAACTACGCGGGAGTCAAGTTAGATCGCGAGTCAGCTATTCTTTATGCTCATTTGAGTTACACCGTATTTGACGGACATCATTTGACCGAAAGTGGAAGGCTTGGTCTGCCCCACCGTTGCGCGTTGTATTCTGCGTACCAAGTAATAGATGGCAACGTCGCGTAATTTGCCAGTTGCTCCTCATGTCGTATCTTTGGAACACTTGAAGTGAAGTGATGTGTCATTATGAAAAACAAACGAACTGCAATAATCAGAGGCTTCCATCGAAAGTCGCCAAGTTCCTCACATAGGATGGAAAGTTATCAAATGGGAACTTGCGGATTTCCAAAAGCATTTTCAACCTGATAGTAAAACATCTTACATGCAGTCACAACCCCTGTTAGGCCATCGCTGCAATCATTGAGAAAGGTGAAAACACCAAAATTCTTGCCACATACTTCCAGTTCTTTGCGTGACCGCGAACTCAGTCCCAGGTCATAGATAAGGATTTCCTTTGTGGCCATAGTTTCCGAATACTTGCAATCTGGAAACTATTACTCGAAGGACTAGAATGGTTTGTAGCGTTGGCAGTGGTTTGTAACGAAATCGGTGCAACCACCGCAATGCGAATTGAAATGAAAGAAGTTGAATTGCTCAGGAGTGAGCCGCGACCCCGACTTCATTCCAGAAACTTGTCAACATTTGAATGCATTTTGCACAGTCACAATGGCTTGCAATCGTTAACACATGCTCCAAATAATCGAGTGCCATTCATCACATTCCTCCCTCACCCCCCTATCTGTTAGCCTGGGAAACTTGAACAAAGGTTAGGTGAAGATCGGCAGAATTAGATCGATTCCTCTTATACCTAGATGACTGATCAGAGGCGGATGAAAAGGTGCTTCAGAAATTGACGGAGAGGCGGTCAGCGGTTCAAAAATTATGAGCAACAGGACCCGAGAAAATGGGACTTCTTTGCCAATTGATTTCCACATTTACGCGACTCTCAACGGTGCTGTCCTCTTCAATGCTACTGCTGTCTCGGCTAAACAGCTAGTCAGATGGTGAGAGTTTAGTACTTATCGACAAGTGTGCAGGGGTGCGGGTGACGTAGGTACGGCCCTGCTAGGCTGAGGGCATACTCTTCGCAATGAAACGAGCATCACCCCGCGCCCTTAGATGTCCAACATACTCGGCGATTGTGCCGAGCGATGGGCGAACGGGCGGAATCGCCGAGTCTGTTGGACATCTTAAGGAGCCCTCCTCTTTGACAAGGTATATTTACCCTTCTCCGACCTTATATCTTATCGCAGAATCCTCTTTTTGTGCGACTGTGCTAATCGTGCTGCTTTTGAGTTTGAGGCGGAAATGGCAAAGCGGCTAGAGGTGCAGCTTTCACATTCATAGTATGTCGCTTGATCCTACGTCACTTGACTGATAAATGATACATATAGTTGAGGAACCAATTATCAAATGGAGTATATGTTTTCTTCGGTCACTGCAACCCTCACCCTTTGCTTTTGAAAACCAGATGCGCGTCGGGTGCAGACCACACACCACAAGTGACGACGGCCTCCAAGTAAATCTGGTTAGTAGTGGTTCATAGTGATAGCTGATTTTTGGTAAATGATAGTTGTAATTAGTGACAACTGATAGAATACAACTGCAACAGGCTAATCATTTCATTGGCAGAAAACATTTACATTTTGTGGAGGCCGTCGTCACTTGTGTGTGGTCTGCACTCGACGCGCATCTGGTTTCGGAAGCAGTGCTACATACGATTCCACGCAAACTTAATGCTAGGAGTATCCGCGAGAGTGGCCAGCGCCAATATTTTACCTTGCTTTCTTTGATGCTGACACCACTCACCAATGTTAGCCCTTCTTTGAAATGATTGTCAGACATCGCCGTGACAAACACCGGCTCAGGAAACTCGTCTTTTTTCACGTCAAGGATGTGCTCCGCGGACAGGAGTCCTGAAAAAATCATGTATACAATTTACATTTGCAGTCGAAAGTGTTCTCGAACCTTTTTTCTTGCACTATTTTTCCCACTCAAACAGTGCCCTTCGAATGTTAATAAGACATCCCTGTTACAGCGCTCGAAGCCTTGTTTCTCAAAAAGTTTGGATATTTGAAAAAGGCTTCAGACTAATCTAGATCTGCAAAACGTATATAAGGCGAGACTTTACTTCGAAGGATTTGTGCCTTTCTGGAAGCTATGTTAAGCCGATGTCAGACTTTGCGAATAGCGCGATTCGCTAGCGTCTGCGGTCGCGTC